GTTATCGTATATAAAAACATGTCACGCTTTATACCAACAGCGTATATTAAGGAACTCGAGTAAGTTAATTTATTTAGAAAAAAATCAAACAAAAGGCACGAATAAACTTGCCTATTTTTATGAATTTGAAAATTTATTTAAGTTAGAGTGACACTAAAATTAATAAAATAAAAATAGATATATATATGTATATATAAAGAAATTTAAATTAAATTAAATTTTCCTAAGATTAATTTTTTTCAATTTAAAATATAATAATTTTATCACCATAGTGATGGCACAGACCTAGAGTTTCGCATTAATTCTCGAGTGATCGCCGTCGCAGTTCCTTCCTTTGGTATCGATAAATATAACAAGATATGGGTTGATCTGCAAATCCGGCATTTACAAAATCAGACAAATTCTTGGAATACGTCATGCGGCCTAATAGATAACACTGGATCATGGGATCTCGATACTTGCATAGCAAACACAGTATCCGGCGATGTAGTAACGCATTGTTTGTGCCCTACTACGGGGACAATAGCTGTTTTCTTGACGACTCGAGCAGTAAAGGTAAATATAGCTTCATTTAAGAAAAGCTATGTTTTAACATTCCATGTTATTCTATTACTTATAGAATGCATATCCTAGAATTCTTACATATGATAGTGTTTAGCTACACTAAAATTTTCCATATAAGCGAAGAACAATTTGTCGTTATTCATCAATTTTGTTATAGGTAGTACTGGCGAAAACAGAACAAACCACGTTCATTATAATATTCGGATGCAGCAGTTGCCTTGTTCAGTGCTTGCTATCTGCCCTGATACTAGGCACTTTTTGGAGAAAGCACAAAAGCTGGTTGAATTTTCTAAAACTCCAATGCTGCGGCGCATTAATAGGCGCAATGGCTATCTTCATTTACGCCGTCCACACTAATCTTCCAGAGGTAATCATGTCTGTTTATAAAAAAAAATTTAGAACATTAACTCTATTAAATTTAAATCTATTAAAAATATGATGTTCTATCATGAAGTAAATCTTATATAAATTATAAAATTGTTATATGAATCTTGAACTTAATACTGACATTTCGTTTTGAATATAACTGCACATTTGAGAATCTTACAAATTATAATCTAATCCAATTTAACATCCTCACTAATTTCTTCCTGTTTCAGTCATCTTACTCGCTCGTGGCGATAGGATTAGAGGCGTTCCTCCTCGTAGGCATGTCTGCGCCTATTTCCGAGGCTCTAATAGTTTATGCCGAACTCACGCAAATTCGACCGAGTCAACATCTTCAGCCTACAGTGATCGCTGTAATAACTGGTATGATCTAGAGCTTTTGAGAGAGATGCGTATCGTCAAGCATTACTTATAATCAGCATCGCTGTTTCTTAGGTGTTCCGATCTTGGCTGTATTTGCAACCGAATTAACGCATAAGAGTACAGGATGGAGACACGAATCCTGGTGGCTCATATATGGCAGCGGTGTCTATAACATATTTGTCAGCTGCGCCACGATGATGTTTTTAGTATTCATACTACTATATATGGGAGTGCTCCACAAAGTTCACACATTAGTGGAGGAGAATGTGATGAAGAGAGAAGCTATAGAAACAAGGTACATAGGTGCATCAGAATATTTCGTAAAATTGGGCGACTCTTTTACAAGTCATTCAATCTTTTTTCCGTCGCAGAATACGAATATTGCACCGCGCGGCTATCGTCATATGCGGCATCATCGCCATGGAGGCATCCTCTATTTTCTACATAAATTCATCATCTGTAATTTTCCACTACATATTTGCATCCTTATCTTTCGCTCTGGTGAGTTTCTTCGCAAACGATACTTATATTGATTAAATAATAAATAATAAATATATAAAAATTATTCGCTAATTATTGATACGCAGGGCTTCGGTATAATAATCGTATACATCGTTAATGGCGAGAATGCAATTATCGGACCAATGCTGCGGAGAATCAGATGGAAACGCAATTTGGACGATAAACACACGTCCGAATCCATTAAAGGTATCGTGATGTGAACTTATTAACGTGCTTTATGATATCAAAGGGAAATTTTTTTATAAACTATTGTAAAGAAAGCGCCAAAGCTTGATTTACAAAATATTAATACTATTCATATTATTCATTAGTATGCTCGAAAGCTGACGCTGAGGTGGAAAACGACTCAGCAACTCCCCCGACGTCATCTTCAATCGCCGGCGAGCCGTATAGGGAGGCACGAGGCATCGCCGCGGGTAGCATAGATATGCGTGAATTTGTATCCGAGTCTTCGTCTGCCTACGCCAAGTCCTCCGTCCCCACGACTAGATTCCTGCCGGAGATCCGAATAGATCATTCAGATAATATCGATCTTGAGAACTACAATACGAGTCCGCGAAAGTATCAAGAGGTATTTGTCGACTCGACGTTTTCTGCACGTAGCTCTTGCTGTGCCAATGATGTAGTGGCCTACAGTGTTAATGAACGCAGCAACTTCCGTGGCGACGTATCGGGCAAGTATCGTGGCGACGGCAAGACCTTCCTGCCGACGGCGAGCGTTTCCTCCGAGTCCTCGGCCAAAGTCCTCTGCAGTGCCGACGTGGAGTCGCGATTAGGTGCGATGCCAGACGTCACGTTGGCTGTGAAAAGCGATGTCGAACTGTCATCGCGGACAAGCGTGGAACTGAAAAGCCGGGAGCATGTGGTGAGCGCCATGCCGGACATCGCCAACACGAGTGAGCGTAAGCAACCTGACGGCGAGGAGAAAACGCCGGAGATCGTGGTAACGACAGGTGGCTGCGATAGCGCGACCAGCGGTATGCTAGATCGTATCTCTCACGATCTTGACTATCTGCTTAATCGCACGCACGCCAAAGAAGGAGCTTGAAATATGTTAAGATCGCGAAATATACAAGTGCAATATAGATTGTTAAATTTGTACAAAACGGATTTCATCACAAATTTCCACATAAATAAGTGAATCGCAGGTCATTTCATGTATCGTAGTTTTTTTAGGATAATATTCGTCAATATTGCGTTTTTGCTATGTAATGAGAAGTTAACGTGATAACGCGATATGAACGTATTGAGAGCTGCAAACCAAAGTCTAAAGTATACATATAATCCCTTCTTATTTCTTATATTCTCGTATATTCTGCACCAGAACGCTAACTGTAATTTGATCGTTGATCACGAATCAGCGATAGTCGTAAAAAAAAATTCGATGCGACAAGTGATCATCATCGCACTCCATCCATCAGAACTTACTTTAAATGTAATCGAAATTTTCATGCTCTATTATAAACATTTACATTCACGTCCATTGTATATCATGAGGAGACTTTACTGTTCCTCATAATAAATAAATAGAATATTAAAGAATAAAATGTACTGCGTAAAAATTCGATTCATGTATAATTATTGTATAGATTTTCAGAAGGTGAGAGTACTCAATTGAGCATTTCCGAGTTAAAGTATTTATTTATCACTGTCATCGTACAGCCCTTTCATAATATCCACGAATCAGTCGTCGCGCTTTTTTTCGTCGTTTATAATTTGTATTATAAAGCTATACACATTCAATTTAGTTTGATAATCTACTTACATACTTAAGATCGAAGTTTATGTTGTAGGTAATAGGTACCTCTAGTAGAGTTAGTCGTTTACTTAATGAGAAATGCTTCACTGAAATTGATTCGACCGAGGTATGAAATTGGAGCGGTATTTCTCTTGGCCAAGCACGTGTTATAAATGCAAAAGACGTAATAAGATCTGTGTTAGTCTGTTAGCACTCGAATATACCTATATGACTAGTTCTCTGTGTTCAACAGATTTTTCTTAAAAATATAAAATATTTACAAGGATTTTCGGCTAATTTTATCGAGATTTAATCTTGGTTTAATCACATCAATAATACCCAAGTATAGAGCAGGGCCGTGGCTTTATCCGATTACTACCAAATTACGCTATTGAGCCAGTATTACATCTCTTACAATCTTGCCTAAGAACTAAAAGTAAAATGAACAAGCACGCTACTGTACTTTCTCTCGCGAATATTTATATTCGCTCACTTTTTTTGACAAACTTTACAATAGGTTGAGTATTTTGGCAAAAATAATAAATGTGTTAAGATATCGAAAGTTTTGTCCGAAAGAAAAAAATTAAGAATCCATACAATATTTAAATATTAATGGATTTTATAATAGCTGTACAATGAAGAGATAGTTTTTTTTCTTACGCATAATCGAATTAATTTTTGTCGATTGCAAGCACAAAATAAATTTTATAGTATACATATTTTATGGTTGTCATGATGAAAAGCATGATATACAATTTCGACGTATTAATTTTTATGTTTTGTAATTCTAAGAGATATTATGAGAAACATGATTCATAACGAACTTTCGTAATTGTATCCCGATAGGTAGATTACGACAGGTAAGTATCAAATCGTACGTAGCTTCGTATAAATATGAATCAATATCCAGCAGACCTCTAATTATCCTCTTAATTATACAATCACAAGTATTTGGTCTTTTTACATTAGATTTATACATTCTTTGTCGCATACCTATATAACGATATAACAGGTGAGACCTGTATAACGTAAAAACTCTATAGAATATAGAGGACCAATGAAATTTGACAACGGAAGTATAACTTCAAAAACCTAAATACGAAAGTAAATATACTAAGCAGTTCCTAATTTGCAGTCATATTCAACTTAGAGGTGTAGCCACGGCACCCTCCCATTTTTACTTCCATTCCTCTTCATTCTGTTTACTTAAATATAAAAATACATAGCCAGTCTATACATAAAGCGTGCAAAGTGGCACAGTGAACTGAGTTATCAGACGTCCTGGATGGTTAACTACCGCTCTCGCTGATTGTCGGCGGTTCTGCATCATCATGAAGTTTACTCGTTTTGTTACTTGACACAGGTATACCTGAGGTTTTTGGCAGCAGGTTAGTTGCATTATCACTATTGGATGTTGTGGCGTTACACACGGAATTGTCAAAATGTTGCAGACATGGAAATTCCGAACCAGGCAGCAATAAAGTAGTTTGAGTAGGAAGATTAGTTAATGATACCATTCCTGGCGTCACTATTTGCTTGTTGAAGTATCTCCTCAATGCCTCTTCAATTAAATTGGCTATTTTATCACGATCGTTCTGTAACAGTAAGCATCTTGCTAAAGCAAACTAAGCCTTCACGGAATTGCTCATTAGCGATATGAGCGAAATAATTTACCTCATTAATAAATCCAAAATGTACAAGTTCCTGTGCGAGAAGCATTGAGGTGTCCATTTGGCTTACAGGACACGTCAATTGCCTATTCATTTTGTCATCCATTCGCAACAATATTGTCATCTGAATAAAATAATATATCGATTTAATAATATATTGATTACGTATTCCATAGATTATCTTGCTAAAATGTTCTATGGACCACTCACAAGTAATTCACTACTATCTTCTCTAGGCTTAACATTACACATCATATTAACTACTCTTCGAGACTCCACGTCCACGGGCTCGGGTGTAACCGATTTAACCGATTCTGTCACTTCGGGCGATATCGCCCTCGGTCGGACAGGCGGAGGTAATTTCGCCATAAATGCAGTCAATGGATATATTCCGTACCTGGCAATGTAAAAGCACTCTGGTTACCAATTTATCCGATATAAGACACAAAATCCAGGTCGATGTATCTCACGACTGAGATACTCACTTTACATCTTCAACAAATTTTTCTAATTTCTCCGTAACAGGAATATCACTTAAACGAATTTGTTGCGGAGGTATTCCTTGATACTTTATTTCGGCGACTACAGTATCTGGTCCATATAGCCTTTGTAACACTTCGTCTGTGATTGTTTCCGAAATGTTAGCTATAAAAAATTTCAATGTTATGTGTGATTTATAATCATTATAAGTATCTTTAAGTAATTATCCCAGCTATTCTAAAAAAATAAAAATTAAAGAGCATATAGATTATACATTTGCTTCAACTTACTAGCTGAATTGACCAAGGCATGTGCTGCAAGCAGCTTAAGAGAATGTACTTCAAATAGAACGGGATGAAATAGCAATTCTCTCGCACTCGGTCTACTAAGCGGGTCCACCTGAAGACATTTACGAATAAAATCTTTTTGTTGAACATCATCTAAAGATTCTATTGTTTTCCGGATGTTTTCTTCGGTAACAATTGTACCCGTATCACCGTTTCCCTGAATTTCCAACGCAGCCATTTCCAAAGCACACATCCCGAATGAATAAATATCAATGGCAGGTGTGACGGAATCTTAAAAAGAAATTACAAATAGTTTGAAAATATTTTAAATGTGATCCATGTATGTATAAACAATGCACTTACTTCCATATTCTGGGGCAACAAAATGCATATTCTTCATGTTTGTTCTACAAGTCTTGATGTGATGATGAATTGCGTCCGGGGCTACTGTAATTAAAAAGAGATCATACTTTCACAAACTGTTCCAAGAAAAACGTCAACATAAAAATGACATATTAATGTGAACGTATTCGACAATGTATTAGAGTTGGTAGGGCAGCCACCAGACAGAATTATGTAGATGTTACATATGTAAACAAAATATATCTTCCTGTAGACATTATAAACAATAGACAATGAACATTAATAGTTTTAAATATATAATATTTATTACGCATTCCGTATGTTTGCTGCCAAGATGAATGACTCTCTAGAAAAATTGTGTTTCAGCTGAAAATTTATCCTAAAAGTAACTTGAGCCCTCGTACAATTAATAGTTTTCACATGTATAAATGTAAAAGTGTCTCTGAAAAGAGAAGCATGCCCCTTGGATGCTCAGATGTACAAATAAAACATAAATTATTTCGTAAAAAAAAAAAACCATAATTTTTCTGTTGATTGCACAGTTCTGTTAGAAAGAACTATTTTTGTTGAGTTAGAAATATAAATTTGGAAAGTAAAATCCTTTAATTAAGAATTATAGAGCATATGAACAAAAAGCTATGTATATATTAAAATATAATGAAAATGTGTGCGCTAGGTGATTGTGAGAAGGACAAAGAGGCACAGAAGGCACTTTGTCCTTCTTAGTTAAATACAATTAATAACCAGAACAAGATAAATAGTGCAACATAGTGGCACTAACATAAAAATAAATTTTAATTATTTGTACATTTAATGGAGCTATTATACTTAATAATTAGTATAAGAGTTGTTTTACCTCTCTATGCCTAATTTACTTAGCTGGCAATAGTTGATGACAATCTGCCAAATGATTTTTTTCTTGAAATTCATCACCTTTGACAATAACACCAATTGACCAATAACGCCAGACATCGACGTTGATGACTTATCCTCTGGATGGGTGAAAGTACGATTTGTACTTCCTCTCTCTTCAAAGGCTTTGCTGTGTTTTTTTCATTATCTAGATTAGCCTATTTGCTACAATTAAAAATGAGGACTCAAGTTACTCCTAATATGAAAAGGCAATTTAACACAATTTTTCTAATGGATTCATATTACTAACATCATATAAAATCATAGGAGAACGCGTGTTATAATAGAGTATTAATATCTATAAATAATTTTTCAAACGCCATTTAAATTAAATTCGGTATAATTCGATATAACTGCATTCATTCCTATATAATCAATTCGATTCTTAACATACATATATTCATATATTCGCGTAAATAAATACATATATGTGTACACACACACACGCGCGCACACACACACACACACACACAAATTAATAAATATCATGTTTAATATATGTATCTCTGTTAAATACACCATAATATTGTTTTAAAAATATTCAATTTGATGATACTGTCTTACAATTATAATTATTTAAAACAAATAATTATTTTGTAAGACATAACTGAGCATACGTATGTATATTTATGTAAATAAATTTTTCCGTGATGTTTGTGTGCCAAAATCACTAGAGAAGCACCTATGTGACATATAATGATGAATCATATTATTTGTCATGTTTTCGTTCAGTCAGGAACTGAGTCATATAATTATTATTTATTTCAGCTGAGTAATGAGTAAATAAAAAGTACATATATGTATATATACGATAGACTTCTAAGAACATCTACTTCATTTTTGTACATATGGGTGCTAAAAAAAAACAGATTCGACACTTAGAAAATATATAATAAATTGAGTAAAAAAATATTGCAGTGTTAAGTATTTCTTGCTCATTTAAGTGAGTAAAATATGCCTTCTAAGATTTGAGTCTTGACATCTTATGTAAACAAAAAAGAAAGAGTAAAAACATAATTGTTACTGTCTTTGTATCTCAAAGAATCACTCGGTGTAAAATTTGCCGTTTTTTATGACAGATGAAAAATTATGACAAAATAGAAACATACGCTTCTACAACCTGTGAATGAGAAAATGAAAATATCTCATACATATATATGTATATAATCTCATCTTGTATTACTTTTTATTCGGAAAATAATGATCCTATCGCATGATGATCTATGTTTACCATACACAAATTCAAATATAATATATGTAAATTCAGATAAGCTATCTGATTTTGTTTAGATATAAAATGATAGCTCTATACACATTATATATTCAATGTAGAGAAAGTTCTATTTCTTTTTACATAAGTACTTACCTGAACCAATTTTTACAAGTCCGTTATGTTGGATAAATATAGTGTCACAGGTAAGATTCCCATGTATAATAGGAGGTGAACAGGAATGCAAATAACTGAAACATTTCAAACGCAATATAAATCGAGAATAAGTTGTATATATATATATATATATATATACATGTTGTATATACAGAGTGTCTTGAAATTCGTAATATTATTACAGCGTGAAACTTCGTGAAAACTTAAGTAATAAAAGTGTAAGCAATTTTTTTCCGTAAGTTTTTTAAGTATAAACATTTAAAGTTTGACTTCGTATGCGTTAAAACGTCATCTGTCCGTGTGATAGTGTGCATGCAGCGGCAATATT